AATAAGCCAATATTGACTATAAGCAAGTGCGAGAACGGGTTGCATGAGGAGACACTTCACGAAGGGACTCCTGGTTCAACCTCGACGTCGAGCGGACGTCTGGACACCTGGAAGCCGCATGATCACGTTTTGTTTTCGCGTTTGGGCTTTGCTACTGCCGTTTGGCGTCCCTATTCAACGGTGCGGTTGTCCGACGCCTGGCGCACATATCGCCTTGGGTCACGGGAGTGTTGATAGATTTTTTTACGTATTCTCAGAACACTTCTGTAAGATCAATCCGGGAGTATGCAGCTTCAGGCTGAAGTCCATACCTAGTTAAACACAAGGCAAAGTTAGAGAAGATTCAGAGGTATGCCACCAGACTAGTCCCAGAACTGAGGGGTATGAGCTACGAGGAAAGCCTACAAGAGTTTAACCTCACATCCATGGAATACAGAAGAGTAAGAGAACACATGACCACCACCTATAGAATTCTCAGAGAAATTGACAGGGTGGACAAACACAAACTATTTAGCATGAGTGGAACACGCACAAGGGGACACAGGTGGAAACTGAGTACCCAAATGAGCCACATAGATATTAGAAAGAATTTTTTTCAGTATCAGTATAGTTAACAAATAGAATGCATTAGGCAGTGATATGGTGGAGGCTGACTCCATACACAGTTTCATATGTAGACTTGACAGAGCCCAATAAGCTCCAGAATCTGTACACCCATTGACAGTCGAGAGGCGGGACCATAGAGCCCAAGCTCAACCCCCGTCAAGCACAACTAGGTGAGTACAATTAAGTGAGCACCTTACCTTCAAGCCGTCTCTACCGAGGGTTGGGTACTTACCTGAAAAGAAAAAGAAAAAAGAAACCATTTTATCACAAGCCTCCTTAAACAAGCGTAGCAGACCCCGGCCATCACCAGACTCTGCTACACACGGCGCACGGAGGACTACGCTCTCTGTGACATCAAACACACGCTGATGTCACAGTAACGACATATATCCCAGGAAAATCTTTGGAGCAGGATGGCGGGATCGAACCCGTGTCCTGGCTCACCCCAGACGCACGCCTTACCCATTGATCACGATAAGCTTAGAGATTACACAACCTGGAGTCCACCTACACCCACCAGGAATTTAGAAACACGGAGCTGTGAGTGGGCAGGTCTGGGGGTGACCCAGGACGCTGCTTCCATTCTGCTTCACAGATTTTCTCTTAGATTACATTTGGTTAAGTAAACTCCCAGAGTATGTCAGCAAAATTATTCGCACACAGCTTCACTATGTGATAGAATGAGAAGAAATAATGAATTTAACGATAACTACCTCAAGTTTTCAAGAAATAAAAACACTGTATTTCATTCAAAAATTGATCAACAAGAAATTTCAGTCAATTATCCCAACTACTGTAGGTAGTTGAGGCAAGTGATTGCAACCCCTGTCACCGCCGCCTACTGCAAGCGTGCACACGGGTGCATCTTCGGCAACATATTATTGTAAGTAACTGATCGACTAAAGAGGATTCACTCCTTGTCTTAGGATCTCTTTGAGGTCACTGTGATTTGTGTTTGATAAACTGTGAAAATTGTGGTGGAGGCTGACTCCATACACAGTTTCAAATGTAGATATGATAGAGCCCAGTAGGCTCAGGAATCTGTACACCAGTTGATTGACGGTTGAGAGGCGGGACCAAAGAGCCAGTGCTCAACCCCCGCAAGCACAATTAGATGAGTATACACACACACACACACACACACACACACACACACACACACACACACACACACACACACACACACACACACACACACAGTCCTTGGACCTATACTGTTTCTGGTATATGTAAATGATCTCCCAGAGGGTATAGATTCGTTCCTCTCAATGTTTGCCGACGATGCAAAAATTATGGGGAGGATTGAAACAGAGGATGATAGTAGGAGGCTACAAGATGACCTGGATAGACTGAGTGAATGGTCCAACAAATGGCTGTTGAAGTTCAACCCGAGTAAATGCAAAGTAATGAAACTAGGCAGTGGAAACAGGAGGCCAGGCACAGGATACAGAATAGGAGATGAAGTACTCAATGAAACAGACAGAGAGAAAGATCTAGGAGTTGATATCACACCAAACCTGTCTCCTGAAGCCCACATAAAGAGAATAACGTCTGCGGCATATGCGAGGCTGGCTAACATCAGAACGGCGTTCAGGAACCTGTGTAAGGAATCATTCAGAATCTTGTACACCACATATGTAAGACCAATCCTGGAGTATGCGGCCCCAGCATGGAGCCCGTACCTTGTCAAGCACAAGACGAAGCTGGAAAAAGTCCAAAGGTATGCTACTAGACTAGTCCCAGAACTAAGAGGCATGAGTTATGAGGAAAGGCTGCGGGAAATGCACCTTACGACACTGGAAGACAGAAGAGTAAGGGGGGACATGATCACAACCTACAAAATCCTCAGGGGAATCGACCGGGTAAACAAGGATGAACTATTCAACACTGGTGGGACGCGAACAAGGGGACACAGGTGGAAGCTGAGTACCCAAATGAGCCACAGAGACGTTAGAAAGAACTTTTTCAGTGTCAGAGTAGTTAGTAAATGGAATGCATTAGGAAGTGATGTGGTGGAGGCTGACTCCATACACAGTTTCAAATGTAGATATGATAGAGCCTATTAATCTGTACACCAGTTGATTGACGGTTGAGAGGCGGGACCAAAGAGCCAGAGCTCAACCCCCCGCAATCACAATTAGGTGAGTACACACACACACTGCGCTAGGCAGCTGAAGAGAGCAACAAAGGTGTGTGTTAAGGTCAATAGCATCTCTCTCTCTCTCTCTCACCTCTACTAACAAGTGTTATGTGGCAGCGACCCCCAGACCTTGTCCCCTCCCTGATGATTACATCCTGCTGCTGCTCTTCCTTCTTCCCTCTCTCACCTCCACAACCTCCACAACCCAACTCTCACCCCCCCCCCCACAGGACCCGGGGGCCTTCAACCCCCCCCCCCCCACACAGGACCCGGGGGCCTTCAACCCCCCCCCCCCACAGGACCCGGGGCCCTCAACCCCTCACCCCCCTCAAAGGACCAGGGCCCCTCAACCCCCCACCCCACAGGACCCGGGGCCCTCAACCTCACAACATCCACCAATCACTTCTCAATTACTTTCTGTTAATGCTAATAACTACTGAATTGCGTCCCATTAAGGATTAATTTGCTAGCAATTTTAATGAAAAAGCGCTCTTAAATGACGAGGTTTTGAAGGGGGAAGAACGGAAGAGGGAGGATTTTGAGGTGTGAGGCCAGGTGGTCTGACCACACCACCAGCTGAGGTGTGAGGCCAGGTGGTCTGACCACACCACCAGCTGAGGTGTGAGGCCAGGTGGTCTGACCACACCACCAGCTGAGGTGTGAGGCCAGGTGGTCTGACCACACCACCAGCTGAGGTGTGAGGCCAGGTGGTCTGACCACACCACCAGCTGAGGTGTGAGGCCGTAACTGCTTTAAAGTAATTAGCAGGAAGAGGATAAAAGCAGTCACTCAGTCACCCAGGTGACCACAGCAACATGCACCTCAGATACCAACACTCATCCCAGCCCGTCCTCTAAACAAAGACCTACCAACCCGTCTTCGACTCAAGTCCATTACATTCAGCGGTCAACCCCACAGACGCATTCATAAATTTTAACATGCTGTTCATTCAAAACGGGAATTTTCTCAAGTATAAATTAATATTATAATATATTAGCATATTGTGCATATATAGGCATAGGTTAGGTTAGGTTAGGTGTTTAGGTTCTGTTGGCGATTATTTGTATTTGTAGTACGTGGGTAAAGCATTTATAGCGTTGTGATTCGAACAAAATTCGTCAGTGAAGCACTTGTTCGGATATATTCGAACGTCAGCAGTTGAGAGTCGTGTGTAAACCGCTTTTCATTCATAAACAGGGGGTTTGGCGGGTGCATGGAATCACTTTTGGATCTTTCTTTGGAGGACGGGCTGCGTGTGTAAACCGTTTTTCATTCATAACCAAGGGGGCTTGGCGGGTGCATAAAATGAGCTTTGGCCTTTGTTTATGAGACCGGGATACCCAAGGTGACCTAATGCCCAAGTTGTTCCACCACCGGAATGTGTAACGAGGATTAACCAGCTTAACTTCTTTGGCAACGCAACAGTTTGGTCACTTGCGCCGCACTCTGCTCAAATACTCGCCTAACCTTTCTCGGGTAGAGGGGAGGGGGCGGCAGAAGACCCGAGAGTGGCGGGAAGGAAGCAATGACTGGCGGCGGGAAGAGCGCCTCCAGCAGGTCTGCCCGGTAGGACACGCCAACATGGCCGCTCCCGCCAGTAGCAGCATACCCGCGCCCTGCCGTCCAGGGCTGCTGGTGTTGGAGACTCTCCCCAACTTCTCGCCCTCAGGCACCACCAGCAGGTAATGGCAGGAAACTGTTTCTTGCTCCTCCCCTTCCTTCTTCTCCTTCCTCCTCCTCCTCCTCCTTGTTCTCCTTCTCCTTCCTCGCTCCTCCCCCCCCGCCCGCTCACTTTCCTCTCCCTGAACGCCCTCTCTCCATGAACGCCTCGCGGCTGAGTGGACTGCACTGTGGGGTCGTAGTGCTAAGGGCCTGGGTTCGATTCCCGGCAGAGGCAGAAACAATTGGGTGGAGTTACTTTCATCTGATGCTACTGTTCACCTAGGAGTATATAGGTATCTGGGAGTTAAGACAGTAGGTATGGGCTGCTTCCTGCGGGATGTACTCACTTAGTTGGTGAGTACACACACACACACACACACACACACACGCATACACACACGTGTGAGTGTGTGTATGTGCGTGTCAAGAGAAATATATATAGTAGACATAATAGAGGAAACCAAGAGCTAAGAGCTCGTTTCTGCAGACACAACTAGTAAATACTCACACACACACACACACACACACACACACACACACACACACACACACACACACACACACACACACACACTATACATGGAGCCCCCACCTCAAGAAGCAGGTAAGAAAACTTGGAAAGGTGCAGAAGTGTGCAAGGAGGCTGGGGCCAGAACAACGTGCGGTGTGGGACGAAGAAAGGTTGAAGGAACTGGACGTAACGACACTGGAAAAGAGGAGAGAGGAGACATGACAGAGATATATAAAATAGTTGGATAAACACTTTGGAAGAGAAATGTTTACAAATAACTCCAAAAGAATGAGAAGACTCATGAGAATGAGTCTGAGAATGAGTCTCATTCTCAATGAGAATGAGATAGAAAAGAGAGAGAGAGAGAGAGAGAGAGAGAGAGAGAGAGAGAGAGAGAGAGCGAGCAGCCACAGATGTTAAAAAGCACAAGAGTCGTAGAAATATGCAAGAAAATGATTACGTAGAAGGAAGCTTCACTCAAAATTTCAAAATTAGTTGTGAGACATGTAGGTCAGACATCAATACACGGCGGCTGAAGAGGTGAGGTCCGAGAGCTAACGCTCGACCCGACAGCCACAAATAGGGGGGGATACATGCACACAAACACCAACCCATCCTCCATCACCGAACATGCAACATATGGATGCGTTAATGTTTTTAATATGATGCAACTGAATAAGATATTTCTCAAGTAGAAATTATTATTATTACAATACATTATGGTCTAATTAGGCAGACGTTAGTTTTGAGGAGAACTTCATATTAAAAGTAATTGAAGCACACACACACACACGGGTGGAGGGGCAGTGGCTGAGTGGACAGCGCTTGGGATTCATAATCCTTGGGTCCGGGTTCGATCCCCCGGCGATGGCGGAAAACAAATGGGCAGAGTTTTTCACCCCGATGCCCCTGTTACCTAGCAGTAAAATAGGTACCTGGGAGTTAGACAGCTGTTATGGGTTGCTTCCTCTCTCTCTCTCTCTCTCTCTCTCTCTCTCTCTCTCTCTCTCTCTCTCTCTCTCTCTCTGTGTGTGTGTGTGTGTAAAAAAAAAAAGTTGATTGAGAGTTGAGAGGCGGCCAAAAGAGCAGAGCTCAACCCCCACAAGCACAAGGTGAACACCCCCCCCCCCCACACAGTAATGGAGACCCACAGGGGTGAGTGGTGGTGCATAGTATATATGAATGATAGTGCTGATGACTCAAACGTTCTTACATTAGTGTTTGTCTAATTCATTCAACCCTGAATGATTACTATAATTTGTTGGCCTTATCGAAAACTGTACACACTGACCACACCCCGGGCACCGCTGGGTATCCTTTCTACAATGTTACGTACCCACATAGTGTGACACTTTCTACAGATCAAAAGGAACAGCAACAACCGAATTAGCTGGAAAAAACGGCAATAATTAGAGTTAATTATGAATAAAATTTCACCAAAATGTTCAAATGTGAAGCGAAAAGGGACCAAGAACTATCTATCCATTAGCAAACACCAACAGGTAAGCATGTAGTACACAGGACGTCAACACAATATTCACCAAGCACTTACTCATTCACTCACGAAACCTGTTCATCTTTACTAAATCATGGTGGCTTTGTTTACACTAATCACATCAACCCGTCCTCGGCTCAAGTCCATTATATCCAGCGGTCGACCCTACAGACGCATTCATAATTTTTTATAAGTTTTTCATTTAAAACGGGAATTTTCTCAAATATAAATTAAATTATACACTATTAGCATATTGTGCATATATAGGCATAGGTTAGGTTAGGTGTTTAGGTTCTGTTGGCGATTATTTGTATTTGTAGTACGTGGGTGAAGCATTTATAGCGTTGTGATTCGAACAAAATTCGTCAGTGAAGCACTTGTTCCGGATATGTTCGAACGTCAGCAGTTGTGAGTCTTGTGTAAACCGCTTTTCATTCATAAACAGGGTGTGTGGCGGGTGCATGGAATCACTTTTGGGTCTTTGTTTGGAGGACGCGCTGATCAAATAGCTAACGAGCTCCGAAGCACTTGGAGGTTGTTCACGACAATAATAACCTCGTGTTGCAAAGCTTCCAACTCGTAAACTGAGTAATAAACAAAGCCGTCGTGATTAAAGAAAGATGCATAGGTTTCGTAAGAAGTTGCGTAAGTCCCTGGCAGATACTAGTGAAAGCTTCCACCCTAACACTGGCCTGACAACATGTTGTACCTCAGGTGGTAACAAGGCTAGACATGACAGGAATAAGTAATTGCTAAAAGAAAGTGCTAAGCCACATGACTATACACAATGACTAGAAGAGAGAGAAATGCACAAAATAAATAAACAATCATCAAAGAGGAACACTGACCGTTAGCACTGTTACTTAAGCCAAACCAATTTACGGAGCAGTGCTCCTGCTCCGTCTAGGAGAGCCACCACCTGGGAAAATAAATCTATCTTGCCCAGGTAGGTAGGCAGGTAAGTGGGTTGGTGTGTAACACCTTTATAAATATAACTAATAATGTAACACTAATATATTTATACTAACACAGGAAGCAGCACGTAACAGCTGTCTAACTCCCAGGTACCTATTTACTACTAGGTAACAGGGGGGCATCAGGGTAAAAGCAACTTTGCCCACTTGTTTCCACCGGCGGCCGTGATCGAACCCGGACCCTGGGATTACGAGTCCCAAGCGCTGTCCATTCAGTCACGGCCCCTGTGTGTGTGTGTCTGTGTCTGTTGATTGTTATAGGTGGTGATGCCGACCACAGTAGTCAAAAACCTTGAGCATTAACATATATCATGAGACCTCAACGAATCCCCGGGAGATGAAGCAGTTGGAAGGTGGTTCACGAGGCGCCCTCACCAGCCAGAGCTCTGGGGGTGGTTCAGGTGGCGCCCTCACCAGCCAGAGCTCTGGGGGTGGTTCAGGTGGCGCCCTCACCAGCCAGAGCTCTGGGGGTGGTTCAGATGGCGCCCTCACCAGCCAGAGCTCTGGGGGTGGTTCGCGTGGCGCCCTCACCAGCCAGAGCTCTGGGGGTGGTTCAGGTGGCGCCCTCACCAGCCAGAGCTCTGGGGGTGGTTCACGAGGCGCCCTCACCAGCCAGAGCTCTGGGGGGAATGTGTCTCACAATGTTTTCCCACGTGTGATGTCAGTAATGTGTGTTTGTGTGTTCTATCTTCACGGATCCAGTAACATTCACCAGTTACCGCGCCAAACCGAATGTGGCTCAGTTCTCCCGCTAACTAGTGTGTTCTTCAGCCCGTGACTGTACGCTTTCTCGGTGAGTGTTGCCCGCGCTCTTCCTCACAGTTACATGTTCCACCTCACACGGCCGCGGGGACATTAAATACCACTATCACCAATATATCATCACCAATAATCATCGCTAGCTAACCGCAGGATAGGGTAAGCCATTACGACTATATAGCACCTGGAAGGGATCAGGATAAGGATTTGGGATGGGACGGGGGGGGGGGGGGAATGGTACCCAACCACTTGGACGGTCGGGGATTGAACGCAGACCTGCATGAAGCGAGACCAGTCCAGGCGCCGGACCCACCATCACCATCCCTTCCTTCACCGTTACGGGCTCACTATATAGCCCGTGCTACATGGGAACAGTGTCCCGAGTAGCTGAATCTAAAATAACAACAACCCTTCGCCGCTCACTTGTCATACAAGTGTACTTATAACTTACTCAGGTATAAGTTGAGAATAATTCTGCATGTGACATGCAGGTGTGTTCAACGTTTATCACCTTAAATATATAACTTTCAGGTATACAAGTTGCAAGCTAAACAGTTACTCGCTTTATGCCAAAAAAGATAGGTTTGATTTAGACTGCTGAAGACCTGTTTAGTCCAGCCGTTATTGTCATGACCTGTATGTTGTTACGAATACAGCTTCTGGTGCTGACAATAACGTGGCTAAAGATCAAATATCCAGGGCACACGTGACATGAAGGTGACGCCGCTTCGGTCCGGCCTCGAGCCTTATTAAACCCATCTGATAAAAGCTCCAGCACTAACCGAGACGTCGTAATCTTTATATATATATATATATGGCACGAAATGGGTGCCATATATATATGGCACGAAATATATATATATATATGGCACGAAATGGGTGCCATATATATATGGCACGAAATATATATATATATATGGCACGAAATGGGTGCCATATATATATGGCACGAAATATATATATATATATATATATATATATATATATATATATATATATATATATATATATATATATATATATATATATATATATATACAACTTTAGAACACTTTCCCACCAGGAGACTCGAACCCTAGCCAGCACAGAAGCCTTCCAGCAACTGGCATAACAGGTACGCCTTAACCCGCTCCACCACCCGCTCAGACCCTTAAAAGAGATGGTAATTTCGGAGTATTTAAATACCCCAAAGATCAACACCTCCCAAGAGCACCAGAGCAAGTGAGGGGTCATTTATACGTTAATTTCATCAAGTCCCTGTTAATATGGGAAGACACAGTGTCTCTGCTTAAGGCACAACTCTCCTAAACACGAGAGTGAAGTATACAACTTTAGAACACTTTCCCACCAGGAAAGTGTATATATATATGTATATATATATATATATATATATATATATATATATATATATATATATATATATATATATATATACGGAAAATCCACAGAGAAATGTGAAAGGAAGTGAACGTTTCGGCCTGATTAAAGCCGTTGTCAACACCAAACTGACGAAACACACGAAAAGATATATATATATATATATATATATATATATATATATATATATATATATATATATATATATATATATATATATATATATTGTTTGTGTGTGTGTGTGTGTGTAGGCGGATTATTTACCTTCAAATATCCACTCTTTTTAGAGGCAAGTTATCCAGCCCAAGGCGCTCTGGGGTCGCCCCGACAACCACCTTCCCAGCATTACACCAGCTCCTGGATTCCGTCACTTAGCATTATTCCTTCCGTTGACGCTGTGGGAGTAAGGATTAAGGAGTGCTGAGACGGCATCGAACCATAGGTCGGTGAGACTACTTTCACTCTCACAAATGAGTGCTAGCGCTCATAATGACTGCGCACGCTCCCTACAGTCACCCGTATTCTTTAAAAACACGCGAAAAGGTGTCACTATTGCACAACTCGGTGCAATAGATAAATGACAAAATACC